CCCTATTATGTTTCGAATGGGACGTTACGTAAAGACCTAAAAATCAAATATGTAGAGCAATACTTGCACAGAATGAATATACATTTTTTCAACAAGGCGCATAACTGTACTCACATGCAAACATTCTAAAGTTTTCGATTACTATGTGCTTGAAGAAGACTGCGAAATCAGACCCTTTGTAACACACCTCAGCAGAACTTAAAACATTTTTTTAATTAATGGCGGGCCCTCAGTCGACTTCGGCTTAGCCACTACTAAGGCCAGAAGTGGTGGTTACTTTATTATGGAGGCACCTAATAGGTGGGTCATCTTTGCCTCTTATGAAGGAACAGACAGTTACAACCATGTCTTCTCCGGGATTCGAACCCGGGCCCTTTGGTATCGCAGTCGGCTCCCTTAACCACTATACCATCTGGGAGGCTAGGGACTTAAACTTTCCGACGTAATATCTATCTCATAAGATCTCAGTATGGTCGCATTTATGTATTCATAGCTATTTATTATTTTTTAATGTAATTTGCATTTATGTATGTATACATTTGTATTTGATCAATGTATTTATATGTATGATTTTTCCTTTAACTGTCTTGTGTTTTTATTACGAATTTCACGCATTACCTTCATAGTATTTCTCAGAAATTGTCAGATTCGCCAAGCCAAGCCTCTCCATTGTTCTCCTTCTCGTTGTTACTGCTTGGCTCTTCGATCCTTCGTGGTGCATGGTCACCCCTTCTTCTCACCTTTGACCTTTCAGACACTTGTCCAGACTGCTTAATATTATCGGTTTTTTATTGCAGTATTTTTATTGAGTCGGATACGTCGCGCTTCGGGTGGCTGAACACTGGTAGTTCGGTCTGAGGTTCGAATACCGCGAACGGACTGGCTGCATGGGTGTTTTCGTGGTTTTCCCCATGTGTAACGTGTATACGAGCTAGTTTCCCTTAAAAAGTCCTCTACGAAGGCATCCCTTCTTAAGGCGGTACCCTCATGGCTTGCCTAATCTAATAAACAAATCAAACCGTCGCGCTTCGCGATATGCCGGTGATACGGTACCGACTCGACCGAGAAACGGACTTTACTCCAGTTATCAAGCTAATCATTTGCTTCTTCTCCTCACCATCATTCTAAGGACAATTTTGATTCTCTTCTCTAACTTGAAGCTATGTGTTCATATAAGTTCACTCTTGGCATTTAACGAATAATGAAGCAAGCTCTAGAAATAGAAACTTTTTTAGTTAAGTTTAAACCATTCTTGAAAAACAATTTCAACGTCTCTCGATTCCTATCTTTTTTAGCACTTCCTTCATATTTAGATTTTATTATCTTCATCAATTACATTTTTATTAAGTACTGCACTGTGATAGTGGAAAATTCCAGTTAAATGTGCTTTTTTGAGGGGGACTTATCAAGAACATATAGAAATAAAGAGTATCTTTTCTTAGCTTAAATCTGTTACTATGTTTCGAACATTATGAATTAATGATACAACAAATCAAAAGAATGCTTCTTCCAGTGATTTATAAAATTTCAAAACTCACGCTTTTAGCGAGCAGAGACTACATTTTCTCTATCAAGTCGATCTGCCACTTCATAATTGCAAGCGAATTTGATAGACGGCAGATTGTAATGGCCCTAAGACTCGAAACGAGTGTCTCCGAAACTGTACGACTGGTATGTTGTTCACGATCTGCTATTGTTAGTATTTATTTTGCATAAATAAATGGATAATGAAGATAATGGATGATAAATGATATGGATAAATGACGGTGAATCCAGCAGTAGATAATAAGGTGTTGGACGTCCATGCCTTATCAAAGTGAAAGGACGTCGGAGACTGTCCCACTTAGAACAGCAAAATCGGCTTCAGACAGTGGCTCAGCTAACAGCCCAATACAGTGCAGGTCCATGTGCAAGTGTTTCGGAGTACACAGTTCAGTGGGCACTGTTGGATACGGGACGGCGCAGTAGACGTCCCACTTGTGTGCTTCCGTTGATCAAGCTTCATTGTCCACTAAGCCTACACTAGGCCCGGGAATACAGATAATGGACCATGGATAAATGGAAGACAGTTGCCTGGTCGGATGAATCAGTATTTAGCATTTATCACGTCGATGGTCATGTCAGGTTACGCCGTATGGCTGGTGGTGGCGGTATTATGCTTTGAGGGATGTTCTCATGGGCTGCGCTGGGACACTTAGTTGCCGTAGAACAGACCATGAAAGCTGCGGACTCTCTGAACATAACTGCGGATCAGTTGCACCCTTACATCTCGTCCGTCTTCCTAACTGGAAATGGAATCTTCTAGCAGGACAACGCCTCATGTCACAAGACTTGAACTGTGCTGGAGTGGTTCGAGAAGAATAAGGACGAATTCCCTTTAATGTCCTGGCAACTTAACTCGCCGGATCTTAATCTGATAGAGAACATTTGGGGTGTCACGGAGTGGCAGCTCAGAGCTCAGACACAACCATTTCAGAATATCTCGACGTAACTTCGGGGATTTTAAGCCGGTAGAGCACGCTTGGGAAGTCATGGAGCGACAGCTCAGAGCTCAAACACCTCCATGCCGGTATATTTCGACTTTGCGTGACCGCTTCTTAGACATTTTGTACAAACTATCTCTACCGAGAACTTGTGGCATCCATGTCAAGGCGACTTGTAGCTGTTTTGCAGGACAAAGGTCGCATAAAGCGTTATTGAGTAGGTGATCATAATGTTTTGGCTCTGCTGTGTGCTTAATCAAGCAAAATTTTTAAGTTATTTGATTAGTCATTTGTACCATTTTACTTCTTTTACCTTATCTAATTAACGTATTGAAAATCTCACTGTGTATTCCTTATTCAGGTATGCTTAATAATATGGTTAATTTAATGTGGGACCTAGTGCATTTGAAGCCCTATCAATCTTCTTTCTAAAAAGCTCTTCAGTGTGCTTATGGTTTTCAGCTTGTATTAAATTTGCGCCTGCAATAAACAGATGCTTTTGTTGCGACCCGGGATAAACCCGACGCCTGCAATAAGCAGATGCTTTTGTTACGTTATGTTGTTTGTTGTTTTGTTAAGATGCTTCTGTTTTGTGCTTACCGACGACGGGTCATTCACTTATGAATGAAATTTTTATTTATTTCGATATTATAAAAATGCTTTGCTCGATGCAAGTTAACCATTTAAAAAGGCAATTTTATCTGAATATCTTAACAATCTATAACTTACAAAATTTGGCTAACTTTATTAATTTAGTTACACACACAAAATTAGTAGAGTTAGCCAATTATATGTATATTAATATTATTAAATGAGGCTCAGGTTCGAAACAGTGTATTTGGAGTTAAAAAAGGCTTATATGTGGAATAGGATGTACAGAAAGTCCTCTCAGTTTAAGCCTGTTAATTTTGTCTGAAGAGCAAATCAGATGTGCACACCTGAACTTAAATTGTACCTGAGTCCACTGGGGCCCAGCTCCGACACTTCTTAATTTTTGAGATAAACCATAATTCTGGCTGTATGCTGGGAAAACAATGATCATTGTTTGTATCATCCTTTGGAATACTGAATTTTTTTATACGTTCAGGGCGCCGACATCCAGACGGGAAAGTGCTTTGGGACTCTGATTGCTGTACCGAAAAAACCGGGTTCGAATCCCGGAGAAGGCGTACATATAATATGTCCATCTCTTCATGGTCCGTTCTCCGTAATAAAGAGACCACCGCTTCCGGCCTTAGAAGTGGTCAACGCTTATAAACGGCTGGAGCCGTCACTGGAAGGTAAACAAATATACATTAAGGGCTTAAATTCAGCCGGAGTCGGTTAAGATATTTCTTAGCTTTTGAGTGAAATTGTAATTCCAGCCGAAGCTCCAAATGAGACGAAATCCGGTATTTTAATTAATTTTTATCTATTTATGATTCATTTAGTAATTTATTATATGTTTATTCATGTCTTTCCAGTTTATTGAATATTAATTTTAACAATTTTATGATTTGGATCATTAATTATTAGACCGAAGGGGCTTTGTCTCTGAAGGACTATTGTTTTGATTTTGCGTTGAAACTTTAAAAGTCTGTATCACTTTTCAAATCGCTGCCACCAAATACTATCGCCCTCTGTATTATATATGAAGAAATTAAATAATGAAGAATCTGCATAAATGTATCTATGTTTCTCGCCTTGTGATAAAACAACGGTACCTAGAGCCATCCAATTTTGAATGACGTAATCCTACTGCAAATTAGGGGAATCTGGAAGCCCAAATTTGAAATTTGTTTTATTATCGATTTCATATTTTGTAAAACTTTAACGAATTTTTGATTAATAAATTCAAGGACTTTAAAGCGAGCAATGGCAACGTTGTACAGCAAAAGCATTTTTATCTCCAGCGCGTGAGACTGTGTATCGGAAATTCTGAAGATATAATCAATTTAATATTATTTTTGCGATATTGCTCTTGAATTGAATTTTATGGTTTAAGTGCGAAGACTATGATATTAATAAATAAAGGTAACACACAAAACGTTGAAAAAACGCTCCCTTGGGAGTTATGTAAAATTGTTTTTAATTATTAATTATTTTGTTGATTCTTTTTTGTGCTTCTTTCCTGGTGGTTTTCCATAAGCCTCCGGTACATCTAATTTTAGAAATTAGCCCTTGGTGTACATTTAGACAGTTGTTAGCAATTACTAGTACAGACCCAAACAGCGAAACCTAATATCTTCGTAAGACCCTTTCCTTTTAGTAAAATTACGCGGAACGCAATGTCTGGTAACTATGACGACTGCTGTATACAGCCTTTTGGCGCTCAAATTTTCAATGAGCCGAGAATTCATCACCAAAAATATTTAGTTCTGCTTCGCTTCAGAGTCACTCATAAAAAAAGTAACGCCAAGCAAGATTATCTGCGATCTCCTCTGCCTAACTGAACTGAAGAACACCGCTGGGTTACCTCACTGGCGATGAAACGCATTTTACTGTAGCAACCCTGGAGTAGAACAGGTGGCTCTTCAGAACCATTGAGCAGAATGTTGATGATAATCCTTGTCGAAAACGACGGAAATTGCGCCGCATAGAGGATGACCATTCACCATTCATAGCACATGAGGAGCATTTGAACCCACGGCTTTATCGAATATATATACAGAAAAAGAAATATCAGCATTTTTATAATTAAATATCTGTTGTTGTTGGTATAAATTTTTGCAATATATTGACTGGAAGGAAAGACTGGACAGTGGTCAGTTGTTTCAGAAGGCTCCTTAAATCCTTCTAACACGTGTTAATGGTTTTTGTCCAGGCCTAGTATTGACTGTGAACAAGCATTTGTGAGAAGCCCTTAGTTTTGTTTACATCAGTCATGTAAGTAATTAACAGTATTCTAACATCATACGTATAAGTTAAAATTCAAATTTTATTACTTTACGTGCTTATAAATGATATAAGAGTATCTGAATTTGCTTATGGGAAAAATGTTTAAAAAAAGTGTTATTTATTTATGAAAAGCAACTAATAATACTTTTCGTACAGCCAAAATTATTTATTTCTCCTTTCCGTCAAGAATACCAAAGATGGAAAAATATTTGGAAGCAAGGTCGAAAATTATTATGAATTGTAGTTTAATCTCTGCACAAAACGTGATGAAGTGGTTTGAAAAGTGCCTATATATAAAACTTTAGAAAGCATATACCGTGTTTATTTACATATTTTCCCCTTCGCTTAATTTTTCCCTATTTTTTTTTTTTTTTTTTTTTCAGGATATGATTCAGAAACTTCTCATTTATGTTAACTATGTAAAATATATGCAAAAATAGTGAAGTTTTTGTGTAAGTAAAAAGAATATAATTGGAATTGAGAAGTCTTTTGAAATATATAATATTAGCGAGTCTTTATGCATGATTTTTCATGTGCTATGTTTGCCATTTAAATCTCTTCAAAAATATACCACTTATTTTTCCCCTCCTGATTTTTAGGCGGTAAAATTAGCAGGAAAAGTGGGAAATACGCGAGTAAAAAAAATACTGCTTGTTTCAAACGAAAATATTGCATTTTATTGTTTTTCAGAGATTGCTTTTCTACTGTTTCGAGTTTCCATTCTTAAATAACGGTCACTGAATGTAATTATTCAATAATTTTACTTAAAAAATAGTTTTTTCGTAATTTAAAAAAACTAATTTCAAATGAAAGATAAAGAAATCGATTTGGTTCGACTGGTTGATCGATTGAAAAGACTTTCTTTGAACATTTATGCCCATCGAAAGATTTTATTTAGAATCTAACTTATTTTATTTATGGCTGATGACATATTTTTCTGTTGTCATTATCCAACATACTTTAAATGCGGTTTATGAATACAGTTTCGTTCCCTTCGAATACAGCAGGCCCCGCTAGTGGCCGAATATATAAGACCACTGAATATTAGCAGTTTGACCCGGGGCAGAGAAATAGGTATCTCCGAAATATGAGTTATATGAACTCAGGCGAAGAGACCATCTGCATAGTTGTTTATGGTTGTTTTCTCCATATGTAATGTGAATACGAGCCAGTTTTCTTTAAAAAGCCCTCCCTGAAGGCATCCCTTATCTTAGGCAGATAGCTTTCGCGTGCTTTTCCAGGGTATAGTAATGTATAATCCGTAGAAGATTCCGCGAAAGCCATTCTGCCCATGTGTGCTTTGCCGTGTTCAAAATAACTTAATCTCGAACGCAGTAGCTTTTTCCATTAAAGCTAAAATAACTGTCTTTTTAAGCCACTAATTTTCAAAATATAATGTTTGCACTTAGGTAACATTTACAGAAAGCGCGTGAACGCAACAACAGTTACTTTTCCACCCGCCTTTCATTTTACTTCTTTTCTTTCGGATTGTTTACAATGTTCAAATTTGAAACTAAGCTAAAATTTTCATAATTCTAAAATTTATGTACTTTTTGTCAAGGAAACGTAATTTTTCCTTTTGTGGAAACATTTATTTGCTAACAAGTACTTTCAGTATCATGAGTTATCATATTTTGGTCCTAGAAGAACTTCGTATTTTCACGACTGCTTTAGACTTAAAATATCACCCTCCTCTTAGTCTTTCAAGCTTTTCATAGCAAAAGTCATGGATCTTCACATAAATTCCGGTTGTAAGTTATGAAAATGTAGCATGTTCATAGTGTTAATACTTTCACGCAAAGGAATTTATGTATTATACTTAATGACAATGATAATTTATAACTTACTAGTACTGAAAGTAAAATTAAACGATTTCTTATCGGATGAAGAATTAACTTTCTGGTGACAACAAAACGAAATGACAATAAATTGTTGCGATTAAAGCAAGCTTCGATTATAACAAACATATCAAAAATATAATACCTCTAAGATTTCATTTAAGCGATTTCGTGTGGCCCTGTTTAGTTTTAAATTCCGTGTATGTGCAATTTAAACGCCTGAAAATTATGACCCACCATCATACCTGGAGAGAATTTTTTGGGGGAGGGGAGATTTCCACAGAAAAAATTAAATATAATACGTAAGAGATAAAATGTCACATTCATTTCTAATCAGTTCAAATTTATTAAGCTTTGTTATAAGGAAGAAAGCTGACTCTTTGCTGCATGACCAGACATCGTTTACAGAATGTCTTGTGTAGCTAGTTCTTTTTGTGTTAAAATAATTCGTTGAACAACGAATCATTATAACGCGAGAAGAAACTAATCAAAACCTTATCTCTAATCCTTAAATCATCGAAGAATTACATATTAGCTTACAAACATACTCTATAATGCGCATAAAGAATTATTGATGAAAATCAAAAGTGAGTTCAAAATAGTGGAAATTTAAAGTGATAATACAAACGTAAATTACTTGAAATGCATACGTAAAATGCAAGTTACGTGAGATAAATTTTAATTATATTTATATGCTATTAAGAAAACATTATTCTGAGGAATTTCACATAGCCTTCACGTGATTGTGTTTTCCGGTTTACATTATGCTGCAAATTTCTCTGATTTAAAATTTAAAAACACAGTATTCTCTTAGTAAGAATTCAAAATTTTGTGCACAGAGTGAAATATTGATTTGTGTTTAATGATGAAACATTTAAGTAAAATCATGAAACGAAAGTGATTTACAATTTTAATATTTACCAGTTCGCTGATTTAAATGGAGCTTATTTCTTTTTTTATATGATTTTTTCCATCTATATAATTAATTTGAGCCCATAGCTTATGAGAATCTAAAATTTTGGAAACTATTGTGAAATATTGTATTTCATTTCGTATGTGATTTACATTTGGAAGTGTTCATGCTACCTACCTCATCATTGCATATGTAATCAAATAAGATTATGGTAGGAGCCTTATTTTATAGATAAGCTTGGAACTTTTGGTATTTCTGTGGAGAAAACCGCAGATATATTTGCGAGGGGCAGGTGTTTAGCAGAAATCCAACCACCTTTTCCTTAACATTAAATGCTCAGGCAATTTAGAAGACAAAAATTACAGCTATGGTATTTGTTAGAAATGACTGGCTAAGAGATTCACGTTAAAAACCTATTGCAGTGCTTATTATTCACTCACGAAGCATGAGTTAGTTTTCTAACAGATTTTTGAGGTGGCAAAAGAACCCAGACACCATTGTCAAACTCTCCAGACGCCACTAGCCCTTCTTTTCCCAGGAAAAACGAGCCTGAAGTTGAGGAAATAATAGCGCGAAAAGTATTGAAGCAGGTACAAGCGATATCTGAACAAATGGCTCCCCTTCCGCACCTTGTGAAACTTTTTTTTTCGGGCAAATGCTGATGAATCAGTCACATTCTTCTGCGGGGTAGTAAGTGAATATGTGACGACTTTCAGGAGACTAGGAGTCCGATCTGCTGCTTTGAATACAGAAAGTAATCATAAAGCACTGAAGTCTTCTATAAATTCTATCACAAGACAGGTATTCATTCAGATTTGTTTTAGAATTCAGATAAGATTATTATTTGTATTTGCTATACAGGTGTAATGATAATAAAATAAAACCCTTAAAGGGCGAAGATATTTTTGTGAGCTGATGTAAAGACGTCATCTAAGCCCTCTTGAATAATAATGCGACGAAAAAAGTCTACGAATTCGTATATTATAAATTTATATTAATTGCATTAAATTTAGTGTAATTTTATGATTTTTTATTCAAATGAATTTTTTGAAACGTCGAATTTGAGGTCCCATTTAAGCTTAGCGATCTCGATGGTCGCTTATACGAGTACAACTCGCCTCATAGACGATAGATTCATAATTTACAGATGTTATTCATAACTTACAGATTTTAGCTCTAACGTATACTGTATCGAAAATGTTTCTCAGCTAAAGAAATGTTGATATCCTAGAAACGAAATATTACGGCTAGATGTAATTTACATTATTCAATTACTTCAGGCGAAAGAGAGTGACAGAGCATCATATTTATTCGATTATAAACTTATGAACTGGCACTGCTTTTAAACAGACCGCAGGAAATCAAAAACGAAAAAGAATAAAAAACACTGATTGTATTAATGGCATCAATACCACGTAGTAGTTCAGAAAAAAAGCCGGAGGACTTTTTTCTGAACTACGACGAAAGTGTAAAACGATCGGCTTGCAGTAATAATAATGTTATATGTGTTTTATTTATTCCAAAATAATCCATAGAAATGATAATAACAGTTCTAATTACTGCTTCTTCCATTAGAGATAAAAATCAAGTTTTCTCCTATTTTAGCAAAAATAAAAATCAAAATCTGAAGGCTTTCAGAATTCATATTACGCCCAAAGGGATTTTTTAAAGTTTTGTGCGTCAGATTTACTTATTAAATATCATGTTCTTCGCCCTTAAACGATAAAATTCAGTTTAACTGCAATATCACAAAATAATTTAAAAAGAGCATATATCTTTAGAATTTCCGGTGCACTGTCTCGCGGGGCGTTGTAGATATTTTTTTTTTTCGTTTTTTACCCGCACAGGGTTGCCATTGCACGCTTTGAAATCATTGAGTTTGTTAATCAAAAATTCTTTAAAGTTTTACAAAATATGAAATAGATAATAAAACAAATTTCAAATTTGGGCTTCCAGATGCCCATATTCAAATGGAGGACTACGTCATTCAAAATTTGGTGTTTCTAGGTATCGCTGTTTTTCATAGTGAGAGAAACACATATATATATATGTGCATTCATGCAGATTCTTCATTATTTATTTTTTTAAATATAATGCAGGGTTTTAATATTTGGTGGCAAAAATTTGAGATGTGAAACGCCGCTTATAGTGAACGAACGCAAAATGCCGAAACGAAATTAATAGCCCCTCTGGGCAAATTGCCGCTTTTGGCTAAGAAAAGGGTTAACATTAAAGAA